AAGTCTGGAGTCGGTGGTGAGAAATGTTTTCAATGAAATTATAGTAGTTATTAAAATGTAAGAGAAATTACATATTCATTTAATAAATAACGAAAAATACTTAAATTTTGTTGTTTATTTTATTTTATTTCACATACAAATTTTTTGAAAATATATTAGGAATGAGTTAAATGTTATTTATATGCGAAGTAAGGTTTATAGGAATAGTTAGGCTATAATATAGTTTTTAGTGTGTAAAAGTAGGTGTTTTATTTTGCTGTAAATAGTTTTTATATCGAAGATCAAAACTTGATATAATTCTATATTTATAGTATTTATAGTTGTATTAAACGATTTATCAATTTGAAAATAACCTTAATTAAGTTAACATTCGTTATTTAAGTTTCATTAGATAGATTTTTATATATGTTTTTTTGTAAGTTTGAGTTTTGTTCATAAATGATGTGGCATTTTTATTTATGGCGTGATCGACTGTGGCCGTGGGAATCCATTCGCCGGAGTCTGAAATCGGTGGTGCGGAATGTTTTCAATGAAATTATAGTAGTTATTAAAATGTAAGAGAAATTACATATTCATTAAATAAATAACAAAAATATTTAATTTTTGTTGTTTTTTTATTTGATCTCACATACAATTTTTTTGAAAATATATATTAGGAAATATGTNAATGATGGATGCGTGGTTTGAACCCACGATCTTGCATGTTTAATTCAACACCTTATACCACTTGGCTAAAGTGTATTTCATTGTTTGTAATCATCTTACCAAGACTATAACTTTTTTAAAAATACCTAGGGGACCCACAAAACTGCTGACGTGGCGCGTTGTGGAGCCTAGAAAGTGTACTATTATAATATAGATTTATGTTTGATCATGTGATGAGCTACTTTTAGTATAGTTAATATTCATTTTGTTAAAATAAAACCAAGTTATACGAAAACATTTGCACAATGTGATGTATTCTTTTTTTAATGTGATGTGTATAATGTATTCGATTTGTTAAAAGTGTTCAATTTTTCAAATAAGAACTTTTTTCGAATTTGTAATGAACAAAAGATGAGTTCATGGGCTGGTAACTTAGTGTTACTTTTTATTATTTAAAACAATGAAAAAATATACAAAGAAAGTTTAATCTAATTAGTGAATTAAACAAAAAATGTTTCTTTTCATCTAATTACAAATTAATTAAGAAATACATCTCTATTTTCTTGTATGGAATTTTCAAAATGTTACCATGAATTGAAAAATCCATATTGACTAGAAATGATTTTATATCATGTCACCAATTTTCTCCTCACGCATTACTCTCTTATAAAATCTACAAAACATCACTTTCTATAATCTTTCCTTTGAATATTGAATTCCAACAACTATCCAATACGACACACGATTAAGATACAATTATGTCTATGTTGGTTTATGGACCCCAAAAGAAAACGATAATCTTATATATTAAAACAGAAGTCATGACTTGACTTCATGTGTGATTTTTTAAAAAATGGACTATTACTAGAAATTTATGTTTCATATATTAACTCTCTAATAATCTTATCATTATTATATCTTATGAAAAATCATATTTATAATTTGGTTTTGGTAAATTACCCCACACCTTCCAACTTAGTCACGCAAAATATGTCAATAGATATAAGTTTAGGAATCTTCTATTATTTATAAGGAAATATGTCAATAATAGTTAAATGCATCCACAATATATTAACAAAAATCACAGATTATTAATATGGAATATTTATATACCCTAACAAAATTTACACGCTATATATATTAAATAAATTTATTTCGATGTAAATTTTTAAAATTATATTGTTTAAAAAAAATTGTTTAAAAAATTCTTTTAATAAAATTCTTTATAATATTAATTTATGAAGCTATAAGTGTAGTTTTTAAAAAAACATTCTTTGAAGTTTATATTATCTTTGCAAATTAAAGTATACTAATATTTAATCAAGTTCTATTTATATTACTTTTATCTAAAAATGAAATACTAATCTAACAAACAATAAAATATAGAAGAAGAAACAAACACATGTTTGAAAAACATGTATAACATAGAAAATTTGAACAACCTATTTGATTAAAACACTTATTATATAATATTATTATGTTTGAAAAACATTTACTATACATATAGTAAATATGTGGTTACTATAATATATACCAATTTACAAGTAAAAACAAAATATTTATATAACTAACTATAAACGCAAATAAACACCCGCGCGGTTGCGCGGGTCAAAATCTAGTATTGATTAATCCACCCACCAATCCAAAATGTCGATTTGAGAATCTCACAGCACAACACATAATAGTCGTGCCTTCAAGATCTTACCTAAAAACATCTTTATGAGATCTTCTAATTTGTAATCAGATTATCCCCACACACACAAAACTATAAAATATTCCCTTTCAAAAGCATTAATGGGTCCTCTTGTAACATCAGCTCTGAGTTCAAACAGCAAACTATCATGTCTGAACCGTTACTAAGCCTTCTTTATGGTAGGACTTTTATCTGATTCTACATTGTGTTGTAACAAATATCACCGACGAACACAAAAGATTCCTCTTCAAAAGTAAAAAAAATTCTTACACAATCTTTATAACCAACATAGGAATTTGTTACAGAAACTATAAGCAAGCATAGATAATGTCCACATCCACTTTTCTTAATCTCTTGTCGGAGAATACTACACAATAATTAAATTCACAACTGGACTAGTTCTGTCTTTTCGCAATGTAATTAGCTAAAGCCAATAAAGGTGCAACCTTTTTGGAATCAAATCCTTGAAGCTGTTCCTGAGCATCTCTCATCAACCTCTCTGCAAACTCCTTTGACTTCTCGAGACCCATCAACTTCGGATACGTCAGCTTATCGGCGATCAAATCTTTCCCCGCGGTTTTCCCCAACTCCTCCGAAGACTTGGTCACATCCAAAATATCATCAACCACCTGAAACATCAAACCAATACATCTCGCAAACTTCCTCAGCTTCTCAATCTCTTCATCAGACCCACCTCCAACGATGGCACCTAACACCGTCGCCGCCTCCAGCAAAACCGCCGTTTTGTGAACGTGGATAAACTCAAGAACCTCTAACCCGACGTCGTTTGAGTCCATCCCCTCACTGCTGATATCCACAATCTGACCCGCCACGAGCCCTTCTGATCCAACGGCTTTCGCTAGCTCCCCGATCGCTCTAACCACCCTCGCCGGAGAAACCCCCGACGTCGACGCTAAATGCTCAAACGCGAACGATAAAAGCGCGTCTCCGGCTAAAACGGCGACGTCTTCGCCGAACACTTTGTGGTTGGTGGGTTTTCCGCGGCGGAGATCGTCGTTGTCCATACACGGGAGATCATCGTGGATCAACGACATCGTGTGGATCATTTCCACCGCGCAGGCCGCCGGCAACGCCACGGATTCTTCCCCGCCGACTAGCTCGCACGCGGCGATGCAGAGGACCGGTCTCACTCGCTTACCGCCGGCGAGGAGCGAGTAACGCATCGCCTCGTGGATCTTGACCGGTTCTCGGAGCGTTACGGCGGAGTCGAGAGCTTGGTTGACGGAGCTAGCTTTACCGATCATGTAAGACATGAAATCGAAACTTAGGCTTTGTGTTTCTTCTTGGTGGATGATACTGGCGGTGTTACTGTCTCCTCTGACGGCTGATAACGCCGTGAACTTTTGCCGGAGAAGGAACGGTGGGGTTTTGAGGAAGCATCTGTTGGACCCGGTTATGGACCCGGGTTTTATGACAGAGGGATGTACACAAGAGCTTAGCTTCACACTAGCCATGGCTTCGATTGGAATTGGTGTTAGGGTGAATGAGATTTTGTGTTGGGTAAGGGAATGTGTGGGTACGGAAGTGGTGGAACGATTAGAGATGATATAATGATGTAAAGATCTAATATACTATTTGAAAAAAAGAAAAATCTAATATTGTAATGTATACTAATGTTTTTATAGATATTCTTTTGTATTCACTTTATTAGATTTTCACCTATGTGATTGGGAAAATCATAGTTACGTTGTCTTTTCCTTACCTTTTATGTTTATTTTTTCTTTTTCTTTTTCTTATCTTAATAGATATGGATGCTAGAGCATCAATCTATGTATGCCAGTGACAATTTAACATGTCAAAGATCAAATAAATTTTGTGACTTGAAAAAGATCCCCTTATAAAAATGGATTAGCTGGACATAATAATAACTATGTAATAATCTGTGTCTTATCCGGAATGTGGTTATTAATTTTATTATTTTTAATAAAAAATATAAAATCTGGATATTAATTCGGTTTTGGTTGTTTTTTTTTGGTTTTTAATCATCTAAAATGTTTTTATCATTATAAAAATATTTATTTTGGTTAGATTAGTTAAAGGTTTAATGTTTTTGTTTTCTCGGTGATAATATTAAACTATTATTATTTATTTAATGAGAAAACAGACATTTAAATATTAAACTTACTCAAATTTGCCAAAATAATATATCCGTTTTTATTAATCTAAAAAATAACAGAATTAGGTTGACTAAGCTAATTTAGGTATGAGTTTAGTCAGCATTAATCAGCATAAAACTGCCGTTTAATGTTAACGACTATAGAAACACAGTCGTTTTAAATTTATAATTTCTTCACCAAAGATCTCCTCTCCTCAAATTGATTCCATCTCTTTTCTTCAAACGTGAAAAAATTCAAATAAGTATGAAATCATCTTTTCCCAAGAAACCATCAAGCCATAAAAAAGAATCAAAGCGGATAATAGTTAAATTAAAAATCAAAATTAATTTTTCTTTTTATATGAATTTTCTCTTTCATATTATATGAATAGTTAGATATTATATCAATTTTCTCTTTCACATTATATGAATTTTAGATAGTCTATGTCGAACCATTAGTTTCATATTATAGTTTCTAGGTGGATAATAGTTAAATAAAAAAGATTATTAAGAAAAAGCATTTCATTAAAATTTGGTCTATAATCAAAGAGAATACATTTTATCAAAATTAATGTTAATCATTATTATTTGATAAAACATACAATGATCATGCCAAAAAATATCTTTTTGAAACAATATTTTTTCTAAAACATGAAACTTTATGAAACGGAGGGAATACATTTGATCAACATTAATTGTATGTCAATTATCTGTTTTTGATTTGATTCTATTTAAACATTCATGACATGTATAGATTTGTTTTATAAAAAAAAATTATATGTGTTTGGCATAATTTATTGAATATGGTAGTGACTAATATCTCATATATATCACCATTAAAATTTTTTTCGCATACATACCCATTTTTTTTTACAAAATTTTAAAATAAAGTATAATTAATAACCATACATTATCATTACAATTATATATATTTATAAACCATTAATAAAAAATTAACGTAAATATAAATACAAGTAAAAAATCTACATCGGACTTTTGCATATTATGATATATAAATATTGATCTATCAAAACTAATTCTAAGTGAGTCTTGCCAATACCAAGTTATATCAATGATTGAACTTTTATTAAAAATAATGGTGTAATTAGGAAACCGATTTTTTTTTTACCATTTTAAAGTATTTTAGATTAAACAAACAAAACCCAAAATTTATATATTTTAACATATACATATTTAAAACTAACAAAAATTAAATATAATAAAAATAGTTATTTATTTTAAATATGCATATATTTTAATATATATATTATTTAGAACTATATTATTATTTTTTTTTATGAAACTGAACTATATTATTTGTTATTCAAAAATACATTTCATAGTAAAAGATAGAGTGAGTTTGGAGATAATTTGTGCAGTGGAGGAAACAATGAAAAAGTTTAATTTGTGCAGTTTTCATAGATATTATTGAAAAAACTTTGTTTACCTATAAATTTTGATTTATTTGTGCTTATTTCTGTGAGAGGCAATTGATATTTGGGTGTTTTACAAAAACAACTCACAAATTCTAGTCAAATGCAAAATCAATCTTTTTTTTGTCATTACTATTCATCCATGAAATTTCTAACCCATCCTTATGTTTTTGAAATATTTACGGAATTACCATTATTATTTATTTTTTTAATTATTTCGAAAATGACAAAAACTAATTATACCCTAAACTTTTCTTTTTATTTACAACAATGCCATCAGCAATTTTCAACCACCATGATCCACCATTTTTGAGCTCTTTAAACCTCCCAAATTCAATTTTGAATCATTTTTTCTCATTCTAAACCAATAAATTTTCACTTCCTCTCATTTCCTCTCTATTTTCATCTAAAACACTCTCATAACTTTCCTTTTCATTAGCATAACTTCATTATTTCGAGTGTATTCTGTTGTTGGTCATCTAAGCTTCTTCTTCTTTTTCTTTATATTTGGAGCTTGGACGGTGGAAAAGGGTGGAAACGAACTTTACACCGAAAAAGGTATATATTTACATGGTTCTCGTCATTTTCAGATCCGTGTCGCGATAGTAGACTGTATCGTATGTCTACGCATATGTGTATGCTTACAATGCGGTCTACTTGTCAACGCACATGTTAGTTTTGCAATTGACCAGAATAATTGTTTATGCAAATTAGACTTCCCTGGAAGTCTACATCATAACTTTTGATTACAAAAATAAAAAAATGAGGTAGACTTACAAAGAAGTCTATGTAAACAAGGTTAGTTTTTCATTTGACCAAAATTTTGAATTTTCTACGTAGACTTCGTCAGAAATCTACAGACTGTAGACTCCCCGAGAAGTCGACAAAAAATTTGTTTTGTAGTTGACCCAAATTTTTACTCTGTTGAATAGGTTAGTTTTGTATTTGACTAAAATGTTAAAAAGTTGACCAAAAAGAAAAAAAAAAGTGTATACTTTAATTTCAGTATACTAATTTCAAAAAAAAAAAAAAGATAAACATCACATGAAGTCTACCATATTATTTTGGTCAAATGCAAAACTAACCCCCCGTATTTGAGGGTAGACTTCATATGAAGTCAACATGTATGTAGACATTTGTTTTCGTATACTAATAGAAAGTCAAACTTGGTCAATTGCAAAACTAACCTCTGTAAAACATAATCAAACATGTAGACTGCTGCTAAAGTCTACTTTAGTAAGTCAAATCTTGAGTGATTTTTGGTCAATTGAAAAAAAACTTACCTCTTTGATTTGTAGACTTTTGAATTTTCTACGTAGACTTCGTCAGAAATCTACAGACTGTAGACTTCCCGAGAAGTCGACAAAAAATCTGTTTTGTATTTGACCCAAATGTTGACTCCGTTGAATAGGTTAGTTTTGTATTTGACTAAAATGTTAAAAAGTTGACCAAAAAGAAAAAAAAAGTGTATACCTTAATTTAAAAAGAAAAAGAAAAAGATAGACACATGAAGTCTACTATTTTATTTTGGTCAAATGCAAAACTAACCCCCCGTATTTGAGGGTAGATTTCGTATGAAGTCAACATGTATGTAGACATTTGTTTCCGTATACTAATAGAAAGTCAAACTTGGTCAATTGCAAAAAAAACCTCTGTAAAACACAATCCAAGAGGTAGACTGCTGCTAAAGTTTACTGATGTCACTCAAATGTTTAACCTAAGGAGTAATTTACTCTCTCAAATAAGAGGTTCAATCGTAGTACTTAGGGATCGAATCCACAAGGAACTAGAGTCACAAAAAGATATAATCCTAAGTGATTAAGCTAGGTTAAAAAAGGTTTAAAACAGTAAATAAAATAAGTAGCAATGGTAAGTTGCTAAGGAAAATAGGTTTTGGTTTGAAAACAATGAAAATAAATAGTTAGATTCAAGGTTACTATTCAGAAAATCAGGATTATAAATCATGGATGTCTTAACGAATTGCTTGCAAATATATGAGAACTTCAACCCTTAGACAAATCTATAGCTGTCGCTAGTTAAACTCGTCCATTGATCTGATTTCCGACTGCATCGATCGATGTTGCTATCGCAGTGTCGATCGGTATAAGCTGCCGTCGATCGATATAAAGTATCAGATCGGATTTAAACTGTGTTCACCCGAGAACTTCTATTAGACCAGCTGTAGCATCGTGCCTTGATAGAGTCTGAGTTTAGCCAAATGATTTCAGGAAGATGACTATTAGATTAGTCACTCCATAATCAATACTCTAGGTAGAAAGTCTAGAGTAAGCATTAGGGTTCATTTGGATAATGAATATAACAACTCAACAATCCATAGTTGGGGCTAATCCCTCATAACTATTTGAACCTCAAATCTAACATATGAATCTACTCAGCCATAGCCAAGAGATTCATAGCAAAAAAATAAGATGAAAAGAAAATGCTTTTATTGTTAAGTATAAAATAGAATACAAAACTTGGTTCAAAACTTCATTGCTTTCTAAGGCACATAGGCATAGCTATAAATATGGAGTACAATTAGGTTAAAAACTCGTCAGGGGCAGTCTTGTAATTTGGTGAGAACTTGGGCTTCAAGTCGGCCAAGTAAACCTTGCTCATCACGCTCTGTATCGATCGATGGTACATTGCGTACATCGATCGATGGAGTATCTCGACTTCAACTTTTACGGAATCGTCATCGATCGATTACACAAGGTGTGCATCGATCAATATGTGTCTCTCAATGTCAGATCTTCATACTCAACTTGTAAAACTCTCCTTTAAGCTCCATAAGGCACCTAAATCATCACTTTACGACAAAATGCTCCTGAACATGAAAACATACCTAATAGACTCCAAAACATAGATAATTATAATAAAAACATATAGAAAATATGACCAAAAGCGGGTCAAAATCATGGTAAATCAACTCCCCCAGACTTAACCTTTTGCTTGTCCTCAAGCAAACATCAAGTTAGTCTTGAAAGAAGTTTAAAAACAGCAGGGACTCAATCAAAATCTCAAC